GTTCATACATGGATTTTTGTAACACTATAAATATTACAATGAGTACAGTCATTTTAGATTTTATATTGAAGTTAGCTCTCATCCAGCTGGTTTTCATACAATAATACAAAAAGATTCAAACAAAAGGCAGTTTAGAACTGGGCTAGCATTATTGTATTTTTGTCATTTAGGGATAAATTAAATAAAGCCACAAATTCTTAAAATTTGCATTCATTACAAAAACATTTGTTCATTCTGATGTTACCTACAAAAGGTAATTTAATAATTTTTATTAACTAATTGTCAACTGAAAACTTTCTTAAAAAAGTTCAATTGGACTCAATTTCAAAATTGCTTACCGCAAAATATGCTTTAAAAAATGGTTGCAATTATAACTAATAAAAAGTAGGTATTTCTAATATTTATTGTCTAAAATGAAATATTGTACAAAAATTTGGAAACTTACTGGAATGTTAGTTGATGGTGTTGATAGTCTGCCGTTTCCATAAAAATTTCCAAGTAATCCTCTTGGTGAACTAAGACCAAACAAATCAGAGATCGACATCGTATCTCCTGGTGAATTAAAAACCCTTTAAAACCTTTATTTTTATAAAATTATGTATTCTTAACAAGTACTTAAGTCATTTGAATAAAACTAACTTTGCGATTGTCATATATTGGAACCTGCTCAACAAGAGACCTAGCCTGCTAGTTTTACTGATTAAACGTCATTGCGTCAGTACTTTAAAAAGACATACCTATGAAATCATTTTGGTCACATAGGGTATTTTTATTATTATTTAAAAATATTTAGAGAAAAAAATATGAATTCGCCATTAAATCTAACAACACCTAATAGTGTTAAACGTTTTCTTTTATTACAGGAAATTGATATTAATTTACATATTTGATAAATAGAGAGTGATTTCTAGAAAATATTACAATCGAAATTGCATTTATTACAACAGTACACGAAAACAACAAAAAAGTGCTTTTTTAGACCAGTAGGAACCTACCTACAATTGATTACATCAATTAAAATGAACTTTTCTGAACCTTTGTTTCCTTTATTGACAATTTATAAGCAGTTTATCACAGTAATGATGTTGGAATATAAATTGTAATTTTTAATAAATTCTGCATGTGTTTGATATCATTAATTTATAATTAAATTAGCAACAGGTATATTTTAATAAATTGTAATTATCGCTTTTCGCACATATTAGACACTAAATAGACATATAATTGTAATATGCATTGACTTCCTTTGTATTTATAGCAAAACAAATCTCCAGTAACATTGACAGTTTCGACATGAGATTGTTTGTCTAACAATGAAAAAAACCAAAGCACACTGCAGAAATAAAAAATCCCAAATATGTGAGCTTCAGTTTTGATTTTGAAATAAGAACAGTATACATGATTACATCACAGTTTCTATCTAAAGAGTGGGTATCTTCAGCAGGTATTTTACTTTTAGAATAAAGCTAGGCTACTGAATAGAGTCAAAGAAAAGAGGAAGTATGGAGCAATTGATTAAAGGGGTTTTACGGTTGAATATGATAGTTTGGCTTCTAAAGATGATACAACCACAGAAGGCCACCATTATTAGGGGTACGTTTTTTAGTAATATTAAAAAAGACATTCTCTTCAGTTTTTCTCAAATAATTCAAAACCGACTGGGCAGCATGGCGAGCACATGGTGGCAGTAGGGAATTAAGAACTGCAGGAGGAGTTTGCAAATATTTCAAATATTGAATCGTCTGTAAATTTTGGAGACTGTTTAAATCGAGTTCTCCCAAAGAAAATGTATTCTGAAAAGGTTTTAAATAGATTTACAAAAAAATATTTTTTCCAAGCATTGTTAACATTGTTAAATTTACAACTAGTGCTAACGATGATGTATAATGTATGAATTTTCCTCATTAAAAAAAAATCTTTCCGCAAACGCACAATTTAACATTTATTAAAAATCGATTATAAATATTAGACAAAGTGAAATTTTTTAAATTGTAAAACTCTAAAGCAAAAAAAAGCACCTAAAAATAAGTGATGCCTTTAAACAAACACAATTTTAAAAAATAATAAATTAACTAACCTCATTGATATTTTCATCGGGTGTTGACAGTATACTTGTGTCTACTTCAGGAGTGTTTGAACGTGAATTATTGTTGTTACTGTTGGTATCACTGACACCCGGACTATTACTGCCATTGCTATCACTGTATCAAAATAAATGCACATAAAAGAATGCAATATTTTAATAAAAATGGCAACAATAAAAATAAAGAAAAACTAAACGTTTCAATTAACTACCTCAAAGAAGTGCTGCGAATATTACGTCCATTATTGTAAGGACTAATGGGAACTCCTGATGGCAGAAGGCCTCTCTGGGCACCTCTCAGAGGAGCAAATGCGTTATCAGATGATCCACCAAGGTATTTATCATCAGCATTGAACTATCGATAAAACAAATTAATTTTCTTACATTAACATCATGTTTTAACATTAAATATTCCAGAAAGAATTAAAATTTGAAGAGCTCTTGAATTGGTTCTCAATTTTTTATTTAATGCACTAAGTGTACATGGTGAATTTTCTAGTTTAGGTAATACCTTCATAAGAAGGGATATTTTGAAAATTTACAATAATTGTTTACGTAATTTCTTTTATGGTAATTTCAAATAAGCTACTAGAATTTTCATAAACTGGTTAAAATACGCAGAGGGATGCTCGAAATATATTTTTTTTTAATGGAATACCCTGTATATTTTCAGATATTAAAAATTCCCTCTTTTTTAGTTTAAAAGTCTCTTCAATTTCAATGCCATAAAAAAGTCGTGGTATAGATAATTTAATTATACATTTTCAAAATCAACTAGAGAATTTCTAGTATCTGTACATCAGCCGATCTGTAAATATCATAATTCAGCTATAAAGAAAAGTTTTCGAAAAAGCCGTGATATAGAAGTTTTACTTCTTCATCAAAATAGTTCACCAAAACATAGAGATTTCTTCATTCATTTTTTAATATCAGTAACAATCGTTAGCATTGATCTAATTGCATTAATCATAAACGTTAAAAGATCAAGATACTAAATATAAAATAAAGAGATTTAATATTTTTAAAAATATTGGATACCTATAATCCATGACAATATCTATATTGCAACTGAATTCATATTTTATGGATTTGAAAACGTCAATTTTTATTATTTTTCGGTTATAGTTTATCACATTAATTAACAATAGTTATGAAAGATCTAATGTTTTGAAGTGTTCGCAAAACTTCATCGACGTTTAGTTCATACATGGATTTTTGTAACACTATAAATATTACAATGAGTACAGTCATTTTAGATTTTATATTGAAGTTAGCTCTCATCCAGCTGGTTTTCATACAATAATACAAAAAGATTCAAACAAAAGGCAGTTTAGAACTGGGCTAGCATTATTGTATTTTTGTCATTTAGGGATAAATTAAATAAAGCCACAAATTCTTAAAATTTGCATTCATTACAAAAACATTTGTTCATTCTGATGTTACCTACAAAAGGTAATTTAATAATTTTTATTAACTAATTGTCAACTGAAAATTTTCTTAAAAAAGTTCAATTGGACTCAATTTCAAAATTGCTTACCGCAAAATATGCTTTAAAAAATGGTTGCAATTATAACTAATAAAAAGTAGGTATTTCTAATATTTATTGTCTAAAATGAAATATTGTACAAAAATTTGGAAACTTACTGGAATGTTAGTTGATGGTGTTGATAGTCTGCCGTTTCCATAAAAATTTCCAAGTAATCCTCTTGGTGAACTAAGACCAAACAAATCAGAGATCGACATCGTATCTCCTGGTGAATTAAAAACCCTTTAAAACCTTTATTTTTATAAAATTATGTATTCTTAACAAGTACTTAAGTCATTTGAATAAAACTAACTTTGCGATTGTCATATATTGGAACCTGCTCAACAAGAGACCTAGCCTGCTAGTTTTACTGATTAAACGTCATTGCGTCAGTACTTTAAAAAGACATACCTATGAAATCATTTTGGTCACATAGGGTATTTTTATTATTATTTAAAAATATTTAGAGAAAAAAATATGAATTCGCCATTAAATCTAACAACACCTAATAGTGTTAAACGTTTTCTTTTATTACAGGAAATTGATATTAATTTACATATTTGATAAATAGAGAGTGATTTCTAGAAAATATTACAATCGAAATTGCATTTATTACAACAGTACACGAAAACAACAAAAAAGTGCTTTTTTAGACCAGTAGGAACCTACCTACAATTGATTACATCAATTAAAATGAACTTTTCTGAACCTTTGTTTCCTTTATTGACAATTTATAAGCAGTTTGTCACAGTAATGATGTTGGAATATAAATTGTAATTTTTAATAAATTCTGCATGTGTTTGATATCATTAATTTATAATTAAATTAGCAACAGGTATATTGAACTCAGAA